AAAAGTGGATGTTCAGTTAGATGAATTAATAAGGTGGGGTTGTGTTCACTTTCATTTCCCCTGCACATAACCGGATAATCAAAAACTAGGGGTTTTGCTTCATATAATTTCAATTAACCACTTGCCTACCGGGCACGTTTACCCCCTTTCTGCCCAGGCCAATTTTCAGCTTTCAGCACTATCACACTTTGAATGACTATTACGCGGTCATGCAACACTGTACAGATATGACATTTAAACATATAGATTTTTCTTTTAATGGTATTTAATCACCACTGAGTTTTTTTTTGCTAAACAAACAAAAAAAGACCAAACGTTTCAAATTTTTTTTTTTAGTTTATGTTATAAAATTTTGTAAACAGGTAATTTTTCTCCTTCACCGATGTGCGCTGATGAGGCTGCACTGATGAGGCTGCACTATTAGGCAGCACTGATGGACACTGATAGGCTAAACTGATGGGCACTGATGAGAAGGCACTGATGAGACTGAACTGATATCTGGCACTGATGGGCACTGATAGGCGGCACTGGTGGGCACCTATAGGCAGCACTGATAGGCAGCACTGAAGGTCACAGATAGGCGGCATTTATGGACACTCACTGGTGGCCCTGATGATCACTGACTGGTGACATTGGACACTGACTGGCGGCACTGATGGACACTGGCAGCACTAATGGACACTGTTGGGGCAGCACTGATGGACACTCTAAATACATTTGCCAATTACAGACTCTTCTCTTTCCTTACGCTGTGACAGCGTGAACAAAGTGCAGCTGATAACCGGCAAATGTATTTACATTGTGATCAGTTGTGTCAATGGACACAGCTGATCATGTGGTAAAAGGGTGCTGTGATTGACCCTTTACCATGTCATGTGATCAGCTGTGTCCGACGGACAGAGCAATTAGGAGCTCACTGGGTGCACACCCAAAGGGGTGCACGGGAGGCGCGGTTCTGGAGGATGTCATATGACACCCTCCCAGAACTAGACGACTGCGCTGTAGTCATCGTTCGACTATAGGCAAATTGTTAAGTGGTTCAAGTTAAGAATAAAAATGTAATACATTACATTTTACCAGTTCTTAGATGCGGTAGTTTTATTAGTTTCCTTTATTTTTCTTTTTTATTCTTAGTATATTAACTCCAAGAACAGAAAATTGCTGCTGAATGTAACTTCCTGTGCACTGAACTGAAATCTTAAACAATGCTATCTGTTTTATTCCCTGAACTATGAACATATCCCCATATTGTAAAGGCAATGAAGAAAGGGGGAGATTGTTGTAGCATATATCAGGAGAGCAGCCTAGGGAGACAACACTGCTTCTCCATAGATGCTACGCAGTGGGTTAACATTGTCACTCTAGGGCAGAAAGTATTTTACTGACAAGATCATCGGGAAAAGGTAAATTGAGAAAAGCCTGACAAAAAAAGAAAATCAATGCAGTCACTATATCTAAGGACTGGTAAGCTGCAATATATTTCATTTTTGTTTAAGTGTAGTTTCCCCTATTCACTAAGCTAAGTTAACATTTACTAGTCACAGACTTTTATGTGGCTCTATTATAAATAAATAAGACTGACATGCAGACAAACAGAAAGATGGACAGACAGATTACAAAATTATACACCACAAAATTATACAGCTTTCCCTACAAAAAAGACAGGTGTAGCAACTTGCAAAGGCATCATGAAGTGTAAAGAAAACTGTAAAAAGTATGCAGATAGGTAAAAACCTGCAAAAAAAAAAGGCAAATTCAGGAAAAGAAAAAAGTTCTTTCTTCAGCTGCCTTCCATAAAAATATTAATGGGTTTTATTTATTAACTGAAAAAATTATGTAGGGAACTGTTATTTTATACACTAGTTGTGGTTTGTTTACATTCATATACAGCCACTACCATAGAGGTCCCATTACAGACAAGTCCCTAGGTGTGCTTCCTGCCCCTACAAGGAGGTCAAGAAACCCCTGGATGTTATATAGTTTGTTTTTCCAGGAAGTATCAGGCAGAGGGTGCCAGCCTGCCATGTGCTATGTATCTGGGGAGAACTGTATGGTGATTCTGTGAGTAATGATCCAGATTAACAAGGTTGCTATCTATCTAGTTGTTACTGAATCAGATTAGATCTGCCTCTGTTATATTTCAACTTCTGTATTGGAACCCTAATATCTCTGTAAGAGAGAGATTTGTGGTTCATTATCATTATTCTATTTACACACTGCAGAATCCTTATAGTTGTCTATATATATATAGATCAGTGTTTTCACCTGCATAAGACTGTCAGGTGAACTTTCTGTTAATTGCAGTGTATCTTTGCAGCCTCTTTGCTTAAAGCCATAGCATCCTTATTGGTCTGTATCTCCTTTTAGCTAGGATTAGCATAGGGAGCGTTGGATAGATTAGGCTAGAGGTAGGTTAGGCATCCGACGGCCACTTAGACAGATAGAGGCCCTGTTGCATTGACAGCCCAGTTCAGGGATAGGGACTAAGAGTAAGGAGAGATAGAGCATTTTATCCTTTTAGGTGATGCATCGCAGATCTTCAGACAAGCAGTGCAATCATCCGCATAGAACGTGTTACTTGGACGCCATTGCAGCATCTGAAGTGGGAGCGTGCATCTTATTGACTCTCACCTCTCCAGGGGCCCCTGCAACCGGACTGCGCTATAACCCATGGTTGGAGGTATTCTGTATACCACATGCACATATACCCGGGTATAATTGCAACCTCCCAATTTATGGTAAATTGTAATTCCTGAATGTTATTCTTATGCGTCCTGTTTTATGAGGCTACTTTATATAAACTTTGTATTAATCTCATACAGGTGTGGTGACATGTTTTCATGTTAGAAATATAAGCTGGGATGCATTAATACTGCTATGTATAGTTACTTTAAGTTGTCTACCTGTTACATTCCTAGAAAGGGGTGAGTCTCCTCAATTGCAGGATCCCTATTCTAGGTGGAGGCACTGCCATTTGTATTATCACAACCCCCTCTTCCATATAGCGAAGGCTCAGGATTGTCTACTCATATACAGGTTAGCGCCATAGCTTGTTTGGTGTGGGCCATTTCACATAACCCCCCCAAAACAGGGCTACAATTAGAATCAATCTAAAAGCAAACTAAAGGTAACCCAACATGAGAGAAATAAGGGGTCTGCCATTTCCCACCTCATTCTAGCTGTCTTAATTACTTTCAAGGTTTCAGTACTCATAAGGCATTGACTTGGAACAGGCTTCCAGATTAAAAAATATCTTACTTAAGCTGGGTATACACAGATCCTGTTTAGCAGGAACCAGACGATTTTTGATCTGTGTGTGGTCATCCCTGTTCAACAGAAGCAGATTGTTAGATCAGTTTCTGTCAAATGGTCCTGCTGGAAAACCTTTTTCAATCAGCAGTCTGCAGCCAGTGGCTGCAGCACTGATCATTGTATTCTGATAACGGAGGAGTCCCTGCTGTCAGAATACAGTAGCACAGTGGGGAGGATTCTGGCACCTCGACCATGCAGCTCATTTTTGTTCAAGTGTCATCATATCCTGCTCCTTCAAAACAACCACACTGTCTTTTTCCAGAGCAGCCTGAATTTTTCTTGTGGTTACCTATGGGTTTCCCTTTGTATCCCTAACAATTTGTCTGGCAGTTGTGGCTGCAATCTTTCTTGGTCTACCTGTACTTGGCCTGGTATCAAGAGGTCCCTGAATTTTCTACTTCTTGGTGGAAGTGATGACTGGCATATTCAAGGCTTTGGACATCTTTTTATGTCCTTCTCCATCTTTTATAACGTTCCATTACCTTGTTACGCAGGACTTTTGACAGTTCTTTTCTGATCCCCATGGCTCAGTATCTAGCCTAGTCAGTGCTTCCACGTAAGATCTAACAAAGTCAATGACTATTTATACACTGACACTAATTGCAATTTAAAAAGCCACAGATGTGGGACATTAACCTCTAATTGGCATTTTAACTTGAGTGTGTCACCTTGTGTGTCTGTACCAAGGCCAAACATTCCAGGGTATGTAAACTTTTGATCATGGCCATTTGGGTGATTTCTGGTATCGTTATGATTTAAAAAGGAGCCAAACAACTATTTGATAATAATTGGCTTCATACGATCATCATCCTTCAATAAAAGAGCATTTTTTGGCATGGTCAGTCATATTTTCAATATCAATGCCAAAATTTCACAATTTCTGCCAGAGTATGTAAACTTTTGAGCACAACTGTACTAATGCATTAGTGACCAGAGGCAGTGACTAATGCATTAGTGACTGGAGCCCCTCTCTGTTTTTAAAAAGTGACAGCTAGCACAGGGAACTTTTCCTTGTACTGCTGTCACAAGGAGTGTGGGGAACGGGGAGCACCTGCAGGATGGGGCACATGTTACATGTTCCACCCTAAAAATGGGTGGAACATGTAACATGTTCCCAAAGGTGAACGTATCCTTTAAGGTTATTATAGCTACTACTGACACCAATAGCGGGGGTTATTATTGCACAATTTGGTACCAAAGCTGGAGGTTATTATTGAGTAAATTGGCACCAAGGTAGGGAAGAATTATTGCTTAAACTGGCACCAAGGCTGGGGGTCATTATTGCAGAAAATGACACAAAAGTTGGGGGCTATTGCAGAAATTGGTGCCAAAACTGGATGTTATTTTTGGGGAAACTGCCGCCAATGCTGGGGGTTACTATTATGTAAAAATTGGCAGCAATTCTCGGGTAGTATTGTGTAAACCTGCACCAATGCTGGGGTTAATATTACATACATTGGCACCAATGTTGGAGGTTTATATTGCTGTCATTGACTCCAATGCTGAGAGTTATTATTGCAAACACTGGCACCAATGCTGGGGCTTATTATTGTGTCTAGAGATGAGCGAAGAAATGAAAAATTCGATTCGACTGATTCGGCGAATTCGTGGACAATATTCGATTCGAGTCGAATAAATTCGCTGTGAATTTAACTTAAAAAAGGGTGTTTCTAGGCTTCAGAGAGACTTAATATTAGTGCAGAACACTGTACCTTTAATTTAAATGCCCTTGGAGTCTGCTGGGGAAGAGAAATAATACTGTCAGTCAGTATGACATGCAGATGAGTGCCGTCGATCTTAGAATCACCGCACACTTCACTCATTTGGCCAGTCACGGGGCCAAAACCAGTGTTTGGAGCCACAGTGTGGCGGTGGAGGCAGCAGCAATGGGAGGCCATACAGCAACCTATGACAAAATGGAAACCAGCAGGAGTGTGAGGAGACCTGAAAGTGGCACATGGCAGAGTGGGAGCAATGGGAGGCGGTACAGGGACCCAGGTCACACTGTGGGCCCAGCAGCAGCGTGACCAGGCGGTACGGGGGCCCATGGCAGATTTGGGGCCTGGCAGCACCTACCTATGGGAGGCCTGTAATCTGCCAGCACCCTATGACAAAATGGAACCCTGGGCTGGGGCAGGCAGAACCGCCGTATCTTTATCACGGTTTTCCAGGCCACCGAATGGCGACGCTGCATATATGCTGACGCAACGCTGTAGTCCCAACATGGGCCCCCTGGCCACGCTTGACTTTCTGGCCACATAGTCGACATACGGCTACGTTTACTTCCTCGGGCGGCTTGACGAAAAATTGCCACACCGCAGAGTAGGAAACTTTGCCTCCGCTACTCCTCACTGGCTGACTGCTACTTCCTCCGTGCACACCGGCACCACTACTGGCCGTGGTGGTAGGCTGCAGTGGAGCTGGTGCTCTACTCCGTGGCCGTTTGCCTCCACTGACACTGCTGCGACCCTGCTGCCTCCTGGCAGCAGCAATGGGAGGCCGTACAGGGACCCATGAGAGACTCTGGACTTGGCAGCAGCATGAGGAGGCGGTATATAGGGGCCCATGGCAGATTAGGGGCCTGGCAGCAGCTATGGGAGGCCCGTAATCTGCCAGCACCCTATAAAAATTCAACACACCAGCAGTGTGTGAAGAGACCTGAATGTGGCATGGCATGGCAGAGTGTGGCGATGGAGACAGCAGCAATGGGAGGCCGTACAGGGACCCATGAGAGACTCTGGACTTGGCAGCAGCATGAGGAGGCGGTATATAGGGGCCCATGGCAGATTAGGGGCCTGGCAGCAGCTATGGGAGGCCCGTAATCTGCCAGCACCCTATGTCAAAAAATTCAACACAACAGCAGTGTGTGAGGAGACCTGAAAGTGGCACATGGCAGAGTGTGGCGATGGAGACAGCAGCAATGGGAGGCCGTACAGGGACCCATGAGAGACTCTGGACTTGGCAGCAGCATGAGGAGGCGGTATATAGGGGCCCATGGCAGATTAGGGGCCTGGCAGCAGCAGCTATGGGAGGCCCGTAATCTGCCAGCACCCTATGTCAAAAAATTAAACACACAGCAGTGTGAAGGAGACCTGAAAGTGGCACATGGCAGAGTGTGGCGATGGAGACAGCAGCAATGGGAGGCCGTACAGGGACCCATGAGAGACTCTGGACTTGGCAGCAGCATGAGGAGGCGGTATATAGGGGCCCATGGCAGATTAGGGGCCTGGCAGCAGCTATGGGAGGCCCGTAATCTGCCAGCACCCTATGTCAAAAAATTCAACACAACAGCAGTGTGTGAGGAGACCTGAAAGTGGCACATGGCAGAGTGTGTGGCGATGGAGACAGCAGCAATGGGAGGCCGTACAGGGACCCATGAGAGACTCTGGACTTGGCAGCAGCATGAGGAGGCGGTATATAGGGGCCCATGGCAGATTAGGGGCCTGGCAGCAGCTATGGGAGGCCCGTAATCTGCCAGCACCCTATGTCAAAAAAATTGAAAACACAGCAGCAGTGTGTGAGAGACCTGAAAGTGGCACATGGCAGAGTGTGGCGATGGAGACAGCAGCAATGGGAGGCCGTACAGGGACCCATGAGACTCTGGACTCTGGACTGGCAGCAGCAGCATGAGGAGGCGGTATATAGGGGCCCATGGCAGATTAGGGGCCTGGCAGCAGCTATGGGAGGCCCGTAATCTGCCAGCACCCTATGTCAAAAAATTCAACACACCAGCAGTGTGTGAGGAGACCTGAAAGTGGCACATGGCAGAGTGTGGCGATGGAGACAGCAGCAATGGGAGGCCGTACAGGGACCCATGAGAGACTCTGGACTTGGCAGCAGCATGAGGAGGCGGTATATAGGGGCCCATGGCAGATTAGGGGCCTGGCAGCAGCTATGGGAGGCCCGTAATCTGCCAGCACCCTATGTCAAAAAATTGAACACACCAGCAGTGTGTGAGGAGACCTGAAAGTGGCACATGGCAGAGTGTGGCGATGGAGACAGCAGCAATGGGAGGCCGTACAGGGACCCATGAGAGACTCTGGACTTGGCAGCAGCATGAGGGGCGGTATATAGGGGCCCATGGCAGTTAGGGGCCTGGCAGCAGCTATGGGAGGCCCGTAATCTGCCAGCACCCTATGTCAAAAAATTCAACACACAGCAGCAGTGTGAGGAGACCTGAAAGTGGCACATGGCAGAGTGTGGCGATGGAGACAGCAGCAATGGGGGAGGCCGTACAGGGACCCATGAGAGAGACTCTGGACTTGGCAGCAGCATGAGGAGGCGGTATATAGGGGCCCATGGCAGATTAGGGGCCTGGCAGCAGCTATGGGAGGGCCCGTAATCTGCCAGCACCCTATGTCAAAAAATTCAACACACCAGCAGTGTGTGAGGAGACCTGAAAGTGGCACATGGCAGAGTGTGGCGATGGAGACAGCAGCAATGGGAGGCCGTACAGGGACCCATGAGAGACTCTGGACTTGGCAGCAGCATGAGGAGGCGGTATATAGGGGCCCATGGCAGATTAGGGGCCTGGCAGCAGCTATGGGAGGCCCGTAATCTGCCACACCCTATGTCAAAAAATTCAACACACCAGCAGTGTGTGAGGAGACCTGAAAGTGGCACATGGCAGAGTGTGGCGATGGAGACAGCAGCAATGGGAGGCCGTACAGGGACCCATGAGAGACTCTGGACTTGGCAGCAGCATGAGGAGGCGGTATATAGGGGCCCATGGCAGATTAGGGGCCTGGCAGCAGCTATGGGAGGCCCGTAATCTGCCAGCACCCTATGTCAAAAAATTCAAACACACACAGCAGTGTGTGAGAGACCTGAAAGTGGCACATGGCAGAGTGTGGCGATGGAGACAGCAGCAATGGGAGGCCGTACAGGGACCCATGAGAGACTCTGGACTTGGCAGCAGCATGAGGAGGCGGTATATAGGGGCCCATGGCAGATTAGGGGCCTGGCAGCAGCTATGGGAGGCCCGTAATCTGCCAGCACCCTATGTCAAAAAATTGAACACACCAGCAGTGTGTGAGAAGAGACCTGAAAGTGGCACACATGGCAGAGTGTGTGGCGATGGAGACAGCAGCAATGGGAGGCCGTACAGGGACCCATGAGAGACTCTGGACTTGGCAGCAGCATGAGGAGGCGGTATATAGGGGCCCATGGCAGATTAGGGGCCTGGCAGCAGCTATGGGAGGCCCGTAATCTGCCAGCACCCTATGTCAAAAAATTCAACACACCAGCAGTGTGTGAAGAGACCTGAAAGTGGCACATGGGCAGAGTGTGGCGATGGAGACAGCAGCAATGGGAGGCCGTACAGGGACCCATGAGAGACTCTGGACTGGGCAGCAGCATGAGGAGGCGGTATATAGGGGCCCATGGCAGATTAGGGGCCTGGCAGCAGCTATGGGAGGCCCGTAATCTGCCAGCACCCTATGTCAAAAAATTCAACAACACAGCAGTGTGTGAGGAGACCTGAAAGTGGCACATGGCAGAGTGTGGCGATGGAGACAGCAGCAATGGGAGGCCGTAGGGACCCATGAGAGACTCTGGACTTGGCAGCAGCATGAGGAGGCGGTATATAGGGGCCCATGGCAGATTAGGGGCCTGGCAGCAGCTATGGGAGGCCCGTAATCTGCCAGCACCCTATGTCAAAAAATTCAAAAACACACCAGCAGTGTGAAGAGACCTGAAAGTGGCACATGGCAGAGTGTGGCGATGGAGACAGCAGCAATGGGAGGCCGTACAGGGACCCATGAGAGACTCTGGACTTGGCAGCAGCATGAGGAGGCGGTATATAGGGGCCCATGGCAGATTAGGGGCCTGGCAGCAGCTATGGGAGGCCCGTAATCTGCCAGCACCCTATGTCAAAAAATTCAACACACCAGCAGTGTGTGAAGAGACCTGAAAGTGGCACATGGCAGAGTGTGGCGATGGAGACAGCAGCAATGGGAGGCCGTACAGGGACCCATGAGAGACTCTGGACTTGGCAGCAGCATGAGGAGGAGGGTATATAGGGGCCCATGGGGGCCCATGGCAGATTAGGGGCCTGGCAGCAGCAGCTATGGGAGGCCCGTAATCTGCCAGCACCCTATGTCAAAAAATTCAAACACCAGCAGTGTGTGAGGAGACCTGAAAGTGGCACATGGCAGAGTGTGGCGATGGAGACAGCAGCAATGGGAGGCCGTACAGGGACCCATGAGAGACTCTGGACCTGGCACTTGGCAGCAGCATGAGGAGGCGGTATATAGGGGCCCATGGCAGATTAGGGGCCTGGCATGGCAGCAGCTATATGGGAGGCCCGTAATCTGCCAGCACCCTATGTCAAAAAATTGAAAACACACCAGCAGTGTGTGAGGAGACCTGAAAGTGGCACATGGCAGAGTGTGGCGATGGAGACAGCAGCAATGGGAGGCCGTACAGGGACCCATGAGAGACTCTGGACTTGGCAGCAGCATGAGGAGGCGGTATATAGGGGCATATGGCAGATTAGGGGCCTGGCAGCAGCTATGGGAGGGCCCGTAATCTCGCCAGCACCCTATGTCAAAAAAAATCAAACACACCAGCAGTGTGTGAGGAGACCTGAAAAGTGGCACATGTTTTGGCATGATTCATGGCGGATTTAGTCAGTTGTGTCAGGAACTGGTGGTTTGAAATCCAGACTAATCACCACGCCTGATTCATTTTCACAAACGTGAGTCTCTCCACACTTTGGGTGGACAGTCGTGTCCTCCGCGGAGTTACAATACCTCCTGCCGCACGCACTAAACACGCGCTCCGATGCCACGCTACTGGCCGGGCATGACAGCCTTTCAAGGGCAAATTCAGCTAGTTGGGGCCAAAGGTCAAGTTTCGTTGCCCAGTAGTCAAGGGGGGGATTGTCTACCTCGGTTGGCAGGGTGCTGTCCAAGTAGGCCCAAGCCTGTTGTTGTTTGAGCTCCTGCTCCAGGTCCACCTGATGCTGCTGCTGCTGCTGCGGCTGGTTAGTAGTTTCCTCACTGCGCTGGTGAAGAAAGCTACTCATCATCGACTGCTGCAGACTGAGGCAGCCGCTGCTGGTGGAGCTGCCACTGCTCCTACCACCCCACCCCTCCCCTGCTGCCATGCCAGCGGAACGCGAGCGCACAGGGCCCACAGTGTCTGAGGATGGACGTTGGGCGCACAAAGGCAGAGACCAACTGACTACATAGGTGGTTTTTATAGTACGTAATTTTGGCCTCCCTCTCAGCAGGTGTGAAAAAGGCCACCATTTTTGGACCGGTAGCGAGGGTCCAACAAGGTGGACAGCCAAAAGTCATCCCTCTGTCTGATGGTTATTATTCGGCTGTCGCTACGCAAGCAACCGAGCATGCTATGGGCCATTTGTGCCAAGGAATGCGAGGGACTCCCTGCCTCCATCTCCACAGCATACTGCCACGGTGCGTCTGGGTCCTCTGTCTCCTCCTCCTCCTCCTCTACCAGATGCTCCTGCTCCTCCACTCCTGTCCGCTGAGTGGAAAAACCACCCATTTCATCAATAATTCCTGAGCACAAATGTCCTCCTCTACCTCCTCCTCTCTTCTTCTGTCCTGTCCCCCACAGGGGTCATGTGGCGTTGAGATCTGTGCGCCACGTCTACCGCACCCTGACCAGCCATTGTTAACAGCATTTGTTCCAGGACGTGCAACAGAGGAATGACGTCGTTCATCCCATAGTCCTGCCGACTCACGAATAGCGTGGCCTCCTCAAAGGGGCCTGAGCAAGCGGCAGGTGTCACGCATGAGCTGCCAATGGCTGACATCTAAGTTACACAGGGGAGTACCTTTATCCGCTTGTAACACATCAGGAAATCGGTGATGGCCTTTCGCTGCTCGTAAAGGCGGTCTAACATGTGTAGGGTTGAATTCCACCTTGTTGCAACGTCGCAGATCAGGCGATGCTGTGGAATTCCGTTCTGCCGCTGCAGCTCAATGAGGGTGTTCTTTGCGGTGTAGGAATGGCTGAAATGCATGCACAGTTTACGTGACATTTTAGGGATGTCTTGCAGTGGGATGGTGGATTTTAGGAACCGCTTGACAACCAGATTGAACACGTGAGCCATGCATGGCGCATGGCACAACCTTCCTTGACGCAGAGCAGACACCATGTTCTTTCCGTTGTCGGTCAACATGGTTCCGATTTTAAGTTTGCGCGGAGACAGCCATCTGTCGATTTCTCTGTTCATTACACTCAGCAGTTCCTCCCCTGTGTGACTACGTTCGCCAAGGCATACCAGGTGCAGCACAGCGTGACACCGTTGCGCCCTGCACATGTGATATGCCGGTCGGGTAATGGGACTTGGCACGGGGGGGTGGCGGCTGAGGACACGGCGGAAAAAGAGGTGGTAGAGGCGGACATGTTTGCTGGACCAAGGACGTGCAAACGTGGAGGCAAAAGCGTCGTGACCTGTCCAAGTTGCTGGTGCGGCTGTGCCGGCACCACGTTCACCCAGTGGGCCGTAAATGACATGTACTGTCCCTGACCGTAGTTACAGCTCCACACGTCGGCGCTGCCGTGCACTTTGGCAGAGACCGACATGCTCAAAGACTGGCCCACCATCTCTTCTACATGTGAATGCAGGGCTGGCACTGCCTTTTGGGCAAAGAAATGACGGCTTGGCACTCTCCACCGCGGCGCGGCACAAGCCATCATTTCTCGGAAAGGTGTGCTGAGTCCACCAGTTGGAAAGGGAGGGACTGCAGCACCAGCAACTTGGACAGGAGGACGTTCAGCTTTTGCACCGTCGGGTGCGTGCTCGCAAACTGTTGTCTCTTGGAAACGGATTCCAAGAAAAGACTGTTGACGGAATCCGAGAAGAGGAGTAGCAGGAGAAGGAGCATCTGAACGAGCGGAAGATGCCAACGAGCGACAACTCCCCTCAGCAGAGGTGTTGGAGCCTTGACTGGCTGATAGAGGGTGATTGACGACGTCGGGTGACGGAGCAAGTAACGGAGCGG